AGGGACTATATTCCTCACCCACCGCTGCCTCCACACAAGATCCCCAGCCCAGGGCCTGCTTGCTTAATGTGTGTTAAGTGAAATTGCCTCCTGGGGAAAGGAAAATGCTAACAATAGTAATAATAATAGCTACCCTTCCTTGACGTTAGCTACAAGTCAGGCAGCGAACTTTATGGCTCATCACAGACGTGCAAATGAGGCCGAGGCCAGGAAGCGGCCTGTCCAAGGTCACTCTGCTAATGAGAGGGAGCCAAGCTGGGATTCAAACTCAGGTTAGTCTGACCTGGAAATGCATGCTGGGTCATAGAGGTGAGGGCATGCGGGGGAGCCCCTTGGCTCACTGCCCGTCTCCCCAGGCTGGGAACTAGTCAGCAGCACAAACCCCTCGGAGAGCCCAACGCTGGCCCTCCCTGCAACGCGCAGGTGCGTCTGAGCCCCCACTAGGAGTCTAGCCCATGGAGACTGCCCCAGGAAGACGGTTCCTGCCCTCGTGGTGGTTGCAGTCCAGTTGGGGTGACAAGGACGCCCTTCCTATGCTGGCCATGACCATTCATTCCCCAAATGTGCCAGGAGCACAGACATCACCATCTCACTGGAGATCTCACAGGGTCACAGATGCCAATGTGGAGATGGACCAGGTACAAGGGAGAGGCTCAGTCTGAAGGAGGGCCTCCAGGAGGCGGTGACATTTCAAAGCAGCCTTCAAGGATATTTTGCCCAAGGGTGACCCACTGATGAAGGTGAGAGAGGCGTGTGCATGAGAGAAAGATGAGGACATGCTCAGAAACTCGTTGGTCAGCAGAGGCCAGGTGTCAGTCGACGTAAGAGCATCACAGGATAGATAGGAAAGTGAGCGGGTGGTTGCATGGAGGGACAGGTGGGTGGTGGACGGGTGCAGGTGTGGGCAGGGGATCAAGTAAATGGAAGGAGGTGGAAGGATGCATGGGTGGGTAGGTGGATGGATGGGGGGTGGTAGATGGATGAATGGATGGCATATAGACATTGGTTCAACCGAGGGGTGGGCAAGTGGTGAGGTGATTGAAGGGGTGTGTGTAGTAGGTCAACAGATGGTTGGGTAAATGGATGGGTAGAGGGGTTGGTAGATAGATAGGAGTGTCGGCAAATGGATGAACTGGCAATTGCACCTGTGGGCGGATGGACCGGAAGACGCTCAAGAGATAGAGAACTGGGAGGACCAGTGAAGGGGCCGGTAAGCAGATGCATAAACTGACCAAAAGCCCAGCCAGACTTTGGGATGGAAAAGGTGCATGCTCCCTAGGCGGGGGCTGGGATGGGGGCTGATAGACGTGACCAAGCCAACTCACTCAGCTCAAGGTTCCCACTGCAAATCTCACTGGAGCCTGGGGGACAGCCACTGGCATTCCTGGGTCCCCAAGGGGGAAGTGTCCCTCTTTGTTGTGCCCTGCCCCCTCTGCCCTAGCTCCACAGGGGACTCTCTGATGAGAAACTGCTTCTCCCCCACAAGCCCC